CCTTGGGTCGCAGCGGCGGGAGAAAGCGCTCCGCTCTCGCTGCCGGCCAGGCGCCCGCTGCCTGGTGCCGCAGGTTTTGGGGAGAGCCAGGCCTTCCCTCCTCAGTCCCGGCCTCCCCCCTGCAGCCCGCAGCACAGCCACGGAGGCTCCGCGAGGAGAGCGGGAGCCCATGGGGCTGCACAGTGAGGCAGCAAGCAGAGGGTGGGAACCAGCGAGAAAAGGCGCAGCGGCGAGTGCCAGGGTAGGAGAGGGAGAGGAAGAGCAAGAGCTGCTTTCTGAACTCCTAGCGATCTCCAGAATGCTCCCCCTTTCTTCCAGAGCCCCAGCTGAAGCACCTGCGCACAGCTGCTCCCAGAGGTACTAATCCAGGCAAGCATGGCAGCACAAAAAGGTGAAGTGCTGTGTGGCCTCTCACCTGTGTAGGGGACTGGTTGCTACCTCCCCAACACACAGCAGAGGAGGGGACTCTGTGTCCAGCCACGCCCCACGGGCAGCGCAAACACAGATGCCCAAACCTTCCTACTGGAGAACGGAAGGGAGGGGGCTACAGAACCTTCCACAGCTACAGAGACGGTCCCAGAGGCAACCGAACATCTCGCACTGGCTCTTCCTGCCACAGACTGGCACCTCTCGGGTAACCCCCTCGCTCGCCGAGAGGAAGCCTTGATGAAGGCAGATGTTCCACTGGCCCTGCACGCTGGGGAGTGCCATCCACCGCTGTCCGCACCCAACGCTTCTGCACCACGGACTGGTGACAGCACAGGGCTGTGCTTTCACTGCCCTTTCCATTTCAAACAGCTGCCCTGAACGCAGACATCTCAGAGGAAGGCTCACCACACGTTCTTCTGTGTCTTGAAGACAACCCTCGCAGAGGTCCTACAGCAGCGTGGCCACCCCGGGTGGACCAGAGGGCAGCTCACACGTGTGGCATGGCAGCGGGCCAGGACGCCTCAGCTCTAGGAGTAAGCTTGCAGCTGAAATAACAGATTTTTGAGATGGAATTATGGATGTTGGTTACCTTTCTGTGTTGGCACAGTTCACGGACACCCTCGCTACAGTGACTCGTAGCGTGGAGCTGCTTTAAACCTTGCTACTCAAAAGGACAAACTCGCAGCCTTGGCCACACGTGGCTTTCGCTTGTGACTTCTCCTCCCTGGGACACGGCAGAGCTGTTGGGAAGCAGGGCTCCGGCCTTTGGCAGCCCTGCCACCTACGAGCTGCTCCCTGCGGAGCTGGCGAAGGCGTTTCTGCCCCAGCCAGCCCGCGCCGTTTGGCTGCCGCTGGTCCCCTGGGCTCCTGGGTTTGTCCTGCTGGGGCTGGGGAGCGCGGGGAAGGGCCCCGTCAGCTGAAGAGGGGGAGTTTAAAGACGACTAGGAAGTGACTTAGTGAAAACTGCCCATTCAGAGATCAGTTTGTTACGTACAGATCTGTAGGTTTTTAATGTACCAGGGGATCAGAGTTACAGTTTGAGGCCTGGAAGGGAGGAGGGTTGGACAGAGGAATGACAGGAATGCTGGACTCGGGCTTGGGTGTCACAGAAACACCGGTGCCGGAAAAAATTCATCCTCCCTTTGAACGAAGGACAGAGCAGGCGAGGCGCCCTGTGCCCAGCTTTGCACAGCGCGGAGGAGCGGCGGCAGCCCAGCTGGGGACAGTCCCTCCCTGCAGCCGGCACCCAACGGTAAGAGCAACCGGCCCAGGAGCAGCCGGGCTTCGCGGCAAGACCCTGCTGCCCCTTCTCCGAGGCGGAGAAGGGAGAAGCGAGGCCCTGACGGCCCCTCTAGGAGCAAGGATCGGCTATTCTGCCCCTTCTTCATTCACCTACCGACCAAAGGAGAAGATGGGATTAAAACACGGACGCGCAGAGGGCTCGCCGTCCTTCCCCACGGGAGCTGGGTGCCAAGCTCCCGCCTCCCCCCGAAGCCCCAGATCACCGAGGCAGCGAACACCATGGGTTCAGAGCTATTTTTTCTGTTGATGCTTCATGTTTTTAAACATAAAGAGGGACAAAACGAGGCTTACCTCGAGGAAGGCTTTGTGGAAAGCCTCAGATACGTACAGGTCTGTACGGCCCTCTGCAATGATACCTGAAATACCAAGCAGAGAAAGTTAAAACTACATTTTTAGACAGCAGCTCAAGAGAGAACAGGCTTCCATCCCTCACGGCCTGAGTTCAAGCAGAAGGCGTGTCTGCCCTAAAATGAAAAAACTCTCCACCAGTTGCAACTGATTGCGTAACTCCCAATTAGTGCAGAGCAGGGCTGCGTGTCCACGGTGGGACTTGACCACAGAGCCCATCGCTGACCGCAGCAACAGCCAAATGCGTTCTTGTTCTCCTTCCTCATGCGCTGCTGCACCCACTGCCCCGGCGCCTGCGGAGGAACGGTCTCCCCCCACCTCACACCACCCCGTCTCCACGTCTGACCTGGGAGTCTGGCGTTTTCCGGACTGAAGAGATCTTCCAGCCCCATTTTTCTCAACTTCTCCTTGACACTGAAGCTGTCCTCGACGCGGAAGCGAGGGAGATAGACATAGAGAGACACCTCCATCATGGAGTCTATCCAGTCCTGCAGCTTCTCCGACGTCAGGCCTCGCTCCACCTCCTCCAACGGCATCCCAGCATTGGGCAGGACCAGCACCATCGTGATATCATCCCCTTTGTAAGGCAGCTCCAGCACCTGGACTTTGTCCTGCGGGATGGATGCGTGGTGGAATTTGGACTCTTGGTACATAATTGGGACTTTGCAGGTCTCACCATTGGCTTTATGAAATAAATCCAGTTTTGTGTTTGGAGCCGGGAACTGTGATTTCCAGTGCCCCTAAAAGGGAGAGTGGGAGGACACAGACAGATGTGAGTGCCGTGTTTTCCCCCAGGGAAATGGGCTGCTCCCCTGGTTTTGTTAGCCATACCTTGAAATAAATGGTATTGACCAGGACCAGGACAGTGAGATCATCAATACCTCTTTCTGGGATCACTTCTGTAATGCGCTTCTCTGTCTTATTAGCCACCCAATCATTAATGATCTTCCTGGAAAGCTCTGGCTTCTCCTGAAGGGAGAGACCAAAGGAAAAAAAAAAGGTTAAGTCAGGGGTTTTAGACATCTCTGTGTCCCTTCTGCAGGGGACAGGGAGGACGCCGCTCCCAGCACAGTGCCGCAGTGTTTAGAAATGTGAACCTATAGTTGAGGTGAGCTGGGACGGGAGGGGCTGCACCCTGCACTCCCGCCTGCCTTCACCGGCGTCCCTCACAGCCAGAGCAGAGCACTCCCCACAGGCACAAGGTACCGACATAGCAAAAGCAGAAGCACGCAGGGCGGAAAAAACAAACAAAGAAAAAAAGAGAAAAATCCAAAGTAGCTCATACTCACTTTGAAGTTCAGGGGCCAGAGTTTCGCTCCATAAACTATTTCACTAATGTTCTGGTAAGTCTCGTTAAAGACCAAAGACTTCTCCCCGAAGAGGCGGTTGGCCGACACCAGCTCTGAGGATTTGTTGGCTTTCTTGTAAAGTCGGCAGTTCAGCTTGGCAAAGAAGAAGTGGATCTGATCGGATGTCTTCTCCGAAATGGTGTCAAATCGAAAGACCTGGAGGAGCAAAATGAGAAGAAGGAATCCATCAGCGGGTTTGTGCTCCCGCAGCTCCCGGGCCCCACAGCAAGCAGCGACGCAGCCTTTGCCTGCCATTCAACAGCCCAAACGGTGGAGCCAGGAAAGCTGCAGGCCCTCAGCACTTCACCCTCCATGTTTAATTCGGAGCCTAAATCGATGTAACAGCAACGCATCACCAGCCCAAGGCCCTGGAGTCCAAAATGCAGGACTACACACTGCTCGGCGCGCAGACGCGCCGCTCTTCTTTGGCTTAACACAGTTTACACACAGTGTTCACCAACCCTCCACTGCACCGCAGCGAGAGCCTCACGCGAGACGAGCATCGCGCTGACGGGGCCTGGAAGTGGCTCTCGGGTCAGTGCCGGTCAGAGGAGGACTCCAGGCTTGCGCTAAATCCTCCTGTGACCACACCAAAGGCTGCTCCTTCCCACAGCAATTATCATGGCCTGCTGAGTAATTCCGGTACATCTTATCTACTTTTTGCAGGGAATGGGATATGCAGCAATCGTTTTGCGGGCAGGTTTCTGCAGCACAGTGAATTTCTTATCTGCTCCTAGCAGTTACAATTTGTCTAATGCTGCCCAGCCTCAGGGCTTTAAGGCACAGAAAATCCCACAGCACACGTTGGTCCATACGCACATCCAGCATATCTGGCACCGTGTCCTACAAGGCAGAGGCGGGGTTGCGGGCTCTTTCGTAGGGAAAAGGGGGGATTAGGAGTGCAGCCCTGCTTCTGGGGTGGCTCATCTCATCCCAGGACCAGAGCTCACCTCCGAGTTTCAGAGCCAGGGCTGGAGGAGGAGGCTCCCTGCGCGCAGGCTCCCGCGCTCGGGAAGCTCAGGCCCTTGCTGTGCTGCCGTAATGCCCAGCATAAGCAGACAGACGCCGTTTAGTCCTGGCGAAGTGCTCAGACTGCTCTTAGGCTTACTGCAAGGAGGCCCTCAAGAAGTAACTGATGTTCCTGTGCTCCTGCAGGACAGCAGAGACCTGGAAGACAGGTGGACTGCAGGGTGTCCCATGTTTCGTCTTTTTGTCCCGAGGGAGAGAGAGGGAATGTGAAAGAGAGCCTCTCCCAATGGGACTCGATAGCACGGCTTCTGCTTTTTGCACAGGAAAAGGCTTAGCTACCTGCTCAGCTACGCACTTGCTCAATCTGCGAGAAACCAACTGTTGCCATTCCCTTCCCTCATTTCCCAAACTGGTTTCTTCTTCTCCAGATGAAAGCTAACCTCTGAAACCCAGGAAATCCACCCTGAATGCAAATAGGGCGACAGAGGAACGAGCCAAAATCCAATCAAACCCAGAGACAAGCAGCCTGCTATGTCCCTCCCAGGGGCTTGGTTAAATTAAGGTCTCCCTTCCCGAGCCAGGGAGCCGTTGTGACCCAGAGAGCCCTTTAGCAGCTGTCAGCCACCATCACCTTTGCTGTCCTTCAGACCCTGGTGATGACGACAGCAGAAGGCGGAGTAAAGGCCACTGACCTCCATGAGCTGCTGGAGGGTGCTGCCGCAAGCTCCAAGCTTGGTCATGGCAAAGGCTGTAGAAATGCTGAGGGGTGACACGAAGATGTTTTCCCCATTGTCCTTGGAGTCAGCCAGGTACTTGTAGAAGACAATGGCGAAGCGTGAGTTGGCCTCTGACAGCTCCCAGACGCGGGGGTTGGTAAAGTCCGGGAGCTTGCGCTTCCCTGGCGCTTGCCCCTCGCCCTCCTGGGGCTTCTTCTCGGGGCTGCGATAGATGCAGATGGGATTCACCGGGATGTCACGTGGCTTTGCGGTGCAGATGTCTTCTACGACGTATGGCTCAGGGGCAACCAGACCCCAGACACCGAGGAGACACACCACGAAGAGATGCATCGTCCTGGAACCAGAAAGAGAGCTCTTACACCCGCTCGCCTGCCCAGAAAACCCACGCTGCCGCTGCAGCCCGCTTGGTTTCAGCCAAGACCAGAGTGACGGGAGCTCCACAGTCCTCTCCAATCGTCCTTTTGTCCCGTAGCTGCAGGATAAACCGGGAGGACAGACAGACAGCGCCAGCAGGATGAGCATGCCTCTGAACACACGTGGCTTTTAGAAACCACGCGCTGGCAACGGTGCTTTCCCAGCGTGTATGGTGTAGCTGGTTCCTCACAGCCGTTCCTGTCCAAAGCTCACAACACCTCAACACAAACCGACTGTCCCTGGTACCCGAGGAGGGTAGCTAGCATCAACAGCCACCTTCCAGCCAAAGCAGGTCTCAGTCTCCCAGCACGGCAGAGAAGATTGGTGTCTCCCACCTTTGCTAAAGCAGGGGATCTGCACGCCCCGTCGGCTCTGGCAGCATGGCCTCACCGGCCACCCGAGGGTCGAAGCGGCAGCACGCCAGATTTCCTGTGCGCCGCAGCTTCGAGATGCCCTTTACGTGACTCTGCGCTGGGTTTGTTCGCACACCCCGTGGGAGGAAGCTCGCAGACCAGAGAAGATTGGTGTCTCCCACCTTTGCTAAAGCAGGGGATCTGCACGCCCCGTCGGCTCTGGCAGCATGGCCTCACCGGCCACCCGAGGGTCGAAGCGGCAGCACGCCAGATTTCCTGTGCGCCGCAGCTTCGAGATGCCCTTTACGTGACTCTGCGCTGGGTTTGTTCGCACACCCCGTGGGAGGAAGCTCGCAGACCGCAGCCGGTCTCTGCCTGCCCCCATCTACTCACTGCTCTGCCTCCCGAGCAACTGTGCTAAAGCTCCGCTGCGTCTGCCACTGGTGATCTCCGTGTCTGCGGTCTCACCAGCGCTGGTGGGGGGAAACAGGGGCAGCTCAAGGGCCCATCCAGGATGCAGGAGACCTCTGGGTTCTTTCACAACCCCCTCCCCAGGCTCTTGGGCAATGACTTCATCTCAGCCCCAGTTCCTCCGCAAAAGCAGAAATTACCTCATTTGGCACCAAGACCATGTCGAGCCCTAAGAGGCCCTCTCTAGCTTATGCTGATAGCATAGCAATAAGTACAGCAAGAAAACATGCAGAACAAGGCGTACTTGCTCAGGCCACGGCCACCGCTGTCGCTGGTATCAACAAGCAGATTTATCTTTCAAAATATTTAGGATAGATGCAACTCCACAAAGGCAAAAAAAAAAAAAAAAAAAAAAAAATTAAAAGGGGGGGGGAAGTAAACAAAAAACAAAAAAAAAAAAACACCACCAGAAAAAAGCCCGTGTGCTCCGCAGCCCCGGGGCCAGGAACAGAGCGACCCTCCGCAGCCCTCCCTCACCCACACTTTGTCCGCCCGGGCTCCAGCGTGCCTACGGCCTGTCCCACTGCAGAGAGGACACCCTCGCTGCGGCCCCTGCCCCGTTGCTCTGCTCGGCTCCTGGGACGCGTGCCGACCTGCCCGTGCGAGCACCGCTGCCTGCTTCTGCCAGGGCAGGGGCAGATGGTGGGGTCTGCCATCACACGCAGTGCTGCTGATCTCACCTTTGAAACCCTACGCACACGAGTGTGCCACGTAGGGCTGCGAGGATGAAGAGGGGACTGGAGCATCTCTCTTACGAGGAAAGGCTGAGGGAGCTGGGCTTGTTCAGCCTGGAGAAGAGAAGACTGAGAGGGGACCTTAGAAATGCCGCTAAATCTCTGCCTCAAAAAAACAAAATAAAAGAAAACCCCTTGAGAGGCAGCAGTCTCAGCCTCTGCGAGCAGGCAATCTGCCTTTGCGGTCTTTGGGGAACGAGGCACCAGAAGGAGAACAAGCACCCAGAAACCACCCAAACTGGATCCAGGCAGGCTCTGGTCCTGCGTTCAGCAGAGGAATCCAAAGCTGGGTGCTGACACTGGCTGGGCGTGGTGCTGTGCAGCCTGCTCTGGGTGACCCTGCTTCGGCAGGGGGTTGGACCGAGTGACCCACAGAGGTCCCTGCCAACCCCTACCAATCTGTGATTCTGAGTGGGGAGAGCGCCTCATCTTCACCCTTTCCTGAATAAATGGGAAACGCTCTCTCTTTCTGCTTCACAGCAAAGTTCTGGCTCCATCAGCTTAAAGGAGATGCAGAACTTCACACCAACGCCTTAAATAAGATTTATCCAACCACTAAGCCCAGCTCAGCCCCTGACGTGTCCAATCTTGTATCTTACAGGCAAGGGCCCTAACTATTTCTTAGGCCAGCTCTTCACTGTAGCACTTGGCCAGAAAACACCCCTCCTCCCTCCACAGCTCTCCAACACTCCCTTTTCTCAACTGCTTTCATCCTGGAAGGATCTCAGAAGTACTACCGCAACACCATCCCTGCCTGAACGAGGGTCACTGGCAAGGAAGAGGCTCTTCTCCTCTGCTTCACCTCTGTAAGTAGTGTAGAAAGCCAAGGAACAAGTTGCCGATTCAGCTCAAAACCAGAAGGCTCCAGAGAAGCGCACAGCAACTCGCCCCCATCCCACGCCTGCGGTGCCCACAGCCGGGCTCCAGCCAGCGCGGGCCATTTCCATCCCACTGCCTCTCAGCGTGGCACGGAATGACGACGGACCGGGCTTGCAGCCCCGCAGCCCGTCCTCCAGCACCCACCAGCGCTGCTGCTGCGGCAGCATGGACATCCCGCAGCACCTGTGCAGCCTGCTGAAGAGCCCAGCACACCCAAGTAGCTCAAAACAGTTTGAGACTGACTTAGGCTCTTGAGAAAAGCCCTCCCTGTCCTCCCAGCCCCCAAGAGCAGAGCACAAAGTGGATCAGCAGTGCTCTTCTACAGCCGGGCAAGAGATCAGCTCCTCGGGCCCATGCCCAGAGCGAAAAAGCACTCTTGCAGCAGCTAAAACTCCTAGGCTGCTGCAAAAGGAAAAAGAATCTGTGACAAGGAGTTCATAAACAGCAACAGATTAGTGGAAGCTGCTTCTCTTACCTGCCCCTGTACCTCCAGCCTTCTGCTTTTAGGATGTAACTGCAAATTGTTCAGAGAACAAGCAGTCTTGCCTGAGCCCAAACCAGTCCAAAGCAGTTTCCCCGCTGGATTTCTGTGCTCAAGCAGAGCTGGGACAAAAGCAGGGGAAGGTAGGAGGGGAGTAGGATGCTGAGGCCAAAGGCTGATGACCGGCTGCAGAAGGTTAAGCAAAGAGCAGAAAAAAAGCGCAATGTTTAGTTTGAAAGAGGTTTTAAAGTTCAATCTGACAAGGGAAAGTTCGACCACCTACCCCACACAAGTGCCAGATGTCTCCAGTTCTTGTCAATAGAAAAATAATTGCTCATACCACGAAAAAAAAAACGCCTAACTTTCGAGTTCAAATAAAAATGTGATGATCTAAGTATCTGTAAATGTCACTTTGCTATCTTGTAGCTCAGAAAAATATTTCCCTCTGCCCCAAGCCCCATCACCCCCCATTCCCAAACCAACAGGCCCAAGTTGGGAGAAACCGCCCCACCTCACACTCCGCAGCTTCGACCACCGCGTCCCCCTCCGCGCTATGCTCACCTTGTCCCTCGCACAGCTGGGAAGCCACGGATTAACAGCCTCTTCCCCCGCGCAGCCGTGCTGGGAGCAGGATTGAGCAACACAACTCTGATCTAGCATGCGGTTGCTCTACAAATTTTCTGAACATGAAAACCCAGGAGCTGGCTGGCTCAGCGGGTGCTAAAGCCACCTTGTTACTCGCCTCCAGGAAGAGCCCAGCTCTTATTGGAAAGTACTTTCCCCCAAACCAGTCTGCAGCTGCAAAAGCCCTTGCTATACCTGTAATATAATAACAGCAGGAGAGACACTGTGGAAATAAATGCATGTGAAAGCAGGGACGACAAGCTCTGGACCCAGCTTGGCTTTTGTGGGTTTCCCTCCACAGCCTGGGGCCAAAAGCACCACCCAAATTCCCACTGGCCCAACCTAATATGCATTCTTCCTCTCTCATCAGTTCTATAATCAGGGACATCTTCATCAGAAGCAAGCACAAAACCTACACAATCCCCTCTCCACGCTGCCCAGCAACTCGCATGGACGCCTGCGCCTCAGCGCCGCTTTCTGCCTGCCCGCGGATCAGGCCAGAGCCGCAGCAGCAGCCAGCGAGTAACCTGCAGGTTGGCTATCTGTAATCTGCTGCCGGAGCTAAAACGTCCTCCAAGAGAAAGGACCATACCTTGGTGCTCCAAGCGGCCGGTGGTTTAATTTTCCAAGGTAACTCAGAGGCTTGCAGGTCCCAGGGTCCTTGGGGGGAACTGGGGATGCTGCACAGCCAGCAGAGAGCAGCAGGCAGACATCCAAGCACAGGTTTCCATCCACCCAACGCTTAGAGCCAGCTTAACGCAGTGAAAATAACAGCAAATGCCTACGGTATTTCGCACATCCCATGTATCTCAAGCTAATGTGAATGAACTCTTACCGGTGTGACAAAGTACACTGGCACAGCGGCTGCACGCTTGCTTCGCTGTACAAGAGGGGCCAAACACCTAAAACCGACCGTGGAAATGCTTTCTCTGACGACGGGGGCCCTGTTAACAGGGAGGCCAGTTCCAGACTTGACACTGGAGGGCTGAAGGGATCTAGAAGCTGCCCAAGCCAGACCCTTTCGGGTGGCTGATAACCAGATCTTTGAGTGCAGCACGTAGGTAGCGATTTCTTGCCTGCTCAGCTCAAAGCACTCGCGGCTGGGCAGAGCTATACCGAAGGAGCATTCCAAGTGACAAGAGTGTTAATATAAATCAGTAGCTGCCGCCTTTGCTCTAGTGGAGGGACTGTTTTGCTCCCAGAGGTGCAGTTCACAGACAGAAAGACTCCGAGTAAAGAGCCCAGAGCAGTTTACAGGAGCAGAGACAGCGTGTTTTCTCAAAACACTTGCAGTGTCCTCTGAATTGCCCCCTTTTAGGAGAAGCCAGAAACAAAGAGCCCTTAAACACACCTGAGTGGTGAGCAGGAACACAA